GTGTGAGAGTGTGTGTGTGTGTGTGTGTGTGTGTGTGTGTGTGTCCGTCCCTCGACTGTGAGACCATCAGCTGTGTTTCACAGTCACACTCAAGACTGAACCAACTCAAACCCAGAACACACTCAGATTAATATTTCAGCTCCATGTATTAATATTAACATGTCATGTTATTATTTAAGTAGCCATGTAATAAGAGGAATAATGTCCAAGTCAGACAGTCATTATCATAAAACATGATGCATCATTCATGCAGTGAACGGTCACTACTTAATTTTTCTAGTGTGGGTAATTATGGGTAATGTAGTTCTGTGCAAATTAGGCTGTTAAACATGATTCTTTAGAAGCTGAAACCACACTGTGTCTACGGAAGCATCTATCATCATTTATGCTGGGCCTGTCGGGAAGGTTTATGCAATCTTTTTTTTATCTATTTCTCTGTGGAGGGAATGAATCAGATTTCTGTTTCTGAAACACGACTGAAGATTGATCAGCCGCTCTGAAGGCCTTTAACTGACCTCAAACAGACAAATCCAATCATTTCCCTTTACTGAATCTTCCTGAAAGAGGATAAAACATACTCTACCATTCAAAGGTTTGGAGTCATTGAGATAGCTGGGTTATCAAGTCAAGCATCACGTTTGTAGAAGTAATGTAATAATGTAATGCATTACATAAAGTACAGTTCCTCAAAACTCAACTAGACGGAAAACCAGGATCGGGTCTATTTCAAAAGAACTCGAGTTCAACAATTTAACAAAAACAACTTTTATAACTAAAGATCTTTTATTATGTGCCCCAGATTTATTTATAAAAAGTTTCTCCAGTCAGCGAAGAGACAGAATGAAAATATGTTGGTTAATATCATATAAACACTGATGATGATTTATTTATCTGATGAGCTCATAAAGATCATGGCGAGCTGTCAAACATTCTGTTCTGCTGAGAAGCGACAATGAGAAATTATGATCCAAAGCTTCATATTTGACTTAATTTTTCCCTAAACTCTACTTATGATGTTAGTCATGCAGCAAAAACAAACGCTTTCCATTTCTCTCAGTGTTTTCATAAACCAGCACTAAACCAGCATAAACCAGTCTAGACCTGTGTTTTTTCCTCCTCTAGGCGAGTAAACAGTTAAATCACTTCTCCCAAAAGCACTGTGATCTAGAGCTCGTGCTGAAACTCTGAAATATCAGAGAAACGCCGTGGATTTTTGGCAGCGCTTTTGGAAACAGAAATAATTCTGATTTGCACATTAGCTGTGAATCTCTCCCTTGCTTCAAACATCATTTACTTTCACTGACATCACACAAGATAAACTCTCAGAGGGCAGAAACGGGGATGTGAGAGATGATGATCCTTCAGATGATTTACAGGCTGCATATGGAATATAATAACAGAGCGTTTCATAAACATGCACTCATTGATGGCGCTGCTCATTTGAACAAACACACAATACATACCTCATGCATTGTACTTCTACACCAGTTTACTCAGTGTAGATCAGAGTAATAATAGTAAAATCAATAATGATAAAATAAGTAAATAAATACAGTATTTCCTGGACAGTAAGTTGCACCAAGTAAAATTTGCACTGTACAAATACAAACATAGATACATTGTATCAGTGTATTGGTCACATTGTATTTTTACATACAGTACAAAAATAATGCAAAATACCAGCAAATAAAATGAAATGTTTACAAACATTATAAACACTATGTATTTCAGTTCCCCTCACTCCACAATAAATCCTTTACATTTAACCAGAGCAGGAATGAAAAATGCATATTCACTATTATAAACAACACTATTATAAATGCCCAGACTAAATTAATTCATACTGTGTTTCTCTGTTTGAGAAATGCATTGTACAAATAAACCTGCGCTCATGTGTTTCTCTCATTCGACACCAATACTAATGTGTTGCTTGACATTAATTGCATTTTATACAGTAAGTCGCTTCGGACTAGAAGTCGCAGCATGATGAAAAAAGTGCAACTTATGTTCCAGAAAATACAGGAATAGTAAAATCTTTTGGTAATTGTACAGACAGCAGCTTGTGAGTTTGAATCTGATGTGATCTTCTCTTAACGTTATATTTCTTCTAAAGGAGATTTTCACAGCAGACGGCGATGTCCTCGATGTTTTAACGATATTTCGTAGTATTTTCAAGAGGTTTTGCTCTAATGAAGATCTCCTCGACCGAAACTCTCAGAAAGAAAGCTATCATATATAAGTCAGTGCATGAGTTCTTTGATCAAATATGTGACCCTGGAGCACAAAACCAGTCATAAGGGTCAATTTCTCGAAATTGAGATTTATGCATCATCTGAAAGCTGAATAAATAATCTTTCCATTGATGTGTGGTTTGTATTGATGTATGGTTTGTTAGGATCGGACAATATTTGAAAATCTGGAATCTGAGGGTGCAAAAAAATCTAAATATTGAGAAAATCATCTTTAAAGTTGTTCAAATGAAGTTCTTAGCAATGCATATTACTAATCAAACATTAAGTTTTGATATATTTACGGTAGGAAACTTACAAAATATCTTCATGGAACATGATCTTTACTTAATATCCTAATGATTTTTGGCATAAAAGAGAAATGTCTAATTGTGACTCATACAATGTATTGTTGGCTATTGCTACAAATATCCCCCAGCGACTTAACACTGCTTTTGTGCTGCAGGGACACATATTATGATTTGATGGTGTTTTGAGATCATACAGGTCTGTGGCGTGTGTTTTCTCACCGTATCTCCTGATTAAAGCTCATGGGTGACTCGGCTGGATCGCGTGTGCTCCGTCAGACACTGAAAAACAGCAGTGAACATCATTCACATCATCCCATCACACACGTCACATTCACTGGGCTCCGTTTAATTCATGTTACATTCACACTGTGAGCTCATTGTTAGCTGCATCAGCTGTTCTGAGTCCAGCAGAAGCACAGAATCAGTGAATATTCTGATGTCTTTCAGTAGGTTTACCTGTTGTCTGCAGCATCACTGAACACTCAGAGGGTTTTGAGAGCTGCGCTTGGGCACACAGGTGAGATGGGAATGAGATTAAAGCTCTGGTTCAGGATGATAACGGCTGCCGGAAACATCACACACAACTCCAATCATTCAGATTCACAGCACAAACACACAGATCAGCAGAGATCATGCTGTTCATTCGTCTGTCTGTGTTTAACATTCAGCAAACTGCACAGGTACACTACAATATTTACATACACAAATAAAGATACTATTGTAGTTTTTAATGTTTTAATTTTAGTAATTTTGTCATTTTTATTTATTATATTTTAAATTCTTATTTTAATTTGTCATTTTGTCATTATATTCATTTGATTTTTAATGTCAACAGTTTTTTATTTATTTTTTATTTCAGTTTTAGTTTATAAAAAAAATATAATTTTTAATGTAATTTCTTAAATAACTGTCATTTATGTGTG